TATCATTTTTCATTACAGAATCATTGCCAAAATTGCATTAAATTTCTTTATTAATATGGTAGCATCTAAGAAAGTGGCAAGTTTGACTTACCTTATCTCATGATCACATGAGGGGAAATTTAGGAGCATCGGAGCAAGTCAATCCCATTTGTCTTCTTTTGTTCGTTGAGATGAATCTTGCACCTAGACTGTCTCTTTCAAGCTACATCTCCATAATCGAAACAACTTACTCATGTTTTCCAAAGTAAGGATGAAAACTTTGAGATCACTTGTCAATGCTGACACATCTCCATAGTGACCAGACTGAAGCTTCACCCTCAAGATGTGGAAAATGTGACCCTCAAGGTCTCCACCTTAGATCTGTTTTATAGTGCATACAAAACACTAATAATCTCTACCCAGTAAGCAAAACCAAAGTTGGATGAATCTTGAAAGGTATGCTAATATAATTTGGAAGTATTCCATGTAGTAATAAGTTCATTTCTACCAGAGAGTGAACTCGCAACTTATATTTACATCCCATTTCTACCAAATCAGTCAATACTAGTATTTTCGAATCCTTATTGGCCCTAGTACCTCTATCTCCTACTGGGAGGACCCCTGGTTAGATCAGACACCTTTTCTCCAAGCGGCATTCCTTCATCCATTTTGATAGCATGCATCTTACATATAGTGTGGCAGATGTCATGCGTAATGGTTCTTGGTGTGAAACCTTGTTGCTCTCTTTGTTTTATGGATCTTTAATCGAAAGAATTCGAGCCATTCACCTCCCACATCAGCTCGATGATGACACATGGGTCTAGACGCATAGCCCATATGGATCCATGTCGGCAAGTAGTGCCTATCGAAGCTTGAGAATTGGTGGGGTTGGAAGGCATCTTGACAGTCGAAAATGGCTCCCAAAGTCAAATTTTTTATATGCCTCCCCACCATCTCCTGTCTTGCTAACTTTATTCACTACTAGGGTGATCTGTGCTTTTTTTTTTGTACAACTTGCATTTTGATTCCCTTCTACCCATATTCTTCACTTGTGTTTTTGGAACTCCATGCAATCTAAACTTTATTATCGCTTCAAAAGATTTCACAACTAGCAGCTTGGGGAATGGTTTGATGGAGGGGGATAGCCACTCCTCGGCCAAGCTTACCAGTGGATAACACAGCTTACTCACCATCTGGTTAAGCAGAAGATACTGCTAAGGTATGGTGGATGACACATGATGGATGTGTCATGAACTTAAATTCATCACTACTCACCTGGAAAGATCACTGAAGCATCATAACTAGTAGAATTATATGTTTAGTTACCACAAGATGCTACTTCTTGAGCATTATTACTAACACATGATGTGCCAATCCAACACTGGTTTCACATAAGAGTTCCATCAAGCATAGATTCATAATACATGAGCGAACACCACAGTTAAAAGTTTCACCTCCTCAAACCATGCAAGACAACTGAAGCATAGCCAGTAAATAACACAGCACACTTACTATCTGTTTTGCAGAAGATACTGCTGCAGTATAGTGGATAACACACATTGTGGGCGCCATGAACTTAACCTAGACGAAGGTCATGGGAGCCATATCTCATGCCATGAAGGTTCGGCTGGCTTGGCTGAACTCGGAACGAGTACATGTGAGCTCCGCCATTGGCGAGCGCGAGAGCACCTTCGTAACTGGTAGGCTCGTCTTCAATGAATCCGTAAACTGGGTGGTCATCTCTCATCTCCTGAGCGCACCAGAGATCACATTAGATGACGCTTTGGACAAACAAAAGAGGAGTGAGTACACGGATGTTGCGGTATGAATAGAGGTATACCAGTTCATGCAGTAAGTTCCTGTGAGCTTCTTGGGAGTTCTTCAGCTGCATGCATTCAACGTTACGACACCGCAAGTTAGAATCCATTTGTACTAAGTAGACAAAATACTATTAAGCTGGCAGCTAATTTGTTAGTAAATGGAAGTTTGATGTATTACATTGAAATTTTTTTGTCACTTCATTTTAAGGCTTTAAATTAGGCATTCATGTTTAATCTATCTTTTTTTGGTTACTTTTTCATATTGACAATCATGAAAATGCGAATAACATAATCAAATCTAAAAAAATTATTAATAGATACTTTTAGAAAAAAAATAATGCAACGAAAGGAAGGAGAACATACAATGCTTAGCAAACACGAAATAAGAAACTATACCAGATGAATCGATCACGCTTTATCGATAGCAAAAGCTTTTACAAATATGAAAAAAAATAGAAAAGAGCACATACTATGCATGGATACATGGAAAAAATGGCATATATTTGGATATATTGGAGAAATAAACTCATATGTATAAATGTAAAGGGAAGGTGATGCTCGACTATACAAGACCATGAATGGATTCATGTCATTTACAGAGTGATACAAGGTGTATAAGACCAATTTGCTCACAAGAACAATAATCAAGCTTTAAGCTTCTTGTCAAGACAACTTCTTAGTAAGTCTCTTTGTTGCGTTTAGTATCTTTAGTTCTGCATCTGTTTTTGGGTGGTTTGTCGTAAATTTAATCCTCTAAGAGTAACATAACTTGTGCCAAAAGTTGCAACAAAAATTATCTTATGATAGTAAACAACAAAATGTGGCATTCTATGTAGCTATACTGTGTTTGGGTGGTGTCAGGGTCTTCCATACGCATATTCTTCATGTTCTCTTGCAAAATTTGCTATTGCAATTATTTCAAAAAGCTTATTGGATTAATCATTGATCAAAATTTTATTTATTTTCTTAATATATCATAAAATTTTCAATAAGAATACACCGAATACAAAGTCTACGTAGGATCAATATACATAGTATTATCATTGTATATAGAGAAATTTGACTCATCATCTAGTTCACAAAGAAACAACATGCTATCATAAAACTCTTAATATAAACCACATGTCATCAAATATTCATAGGTGCCACAATGCATCAATGTGTCAACAAGAAAAAAAAAAAAAAGCCAACACCTCAACAATGAATTCAATATATAGTCCATAAGATTGCAGTGTTAACTGGAAAGAAGATGAAAGATCAAAAAAAAAAAAGGAACACACTGAACTCAACTTTCATTCGCCATCTTTGAAGTTAAATATCGATACTTAAAGTTTGTGAGATTGAGAAATTGAGATATTGATGAATATACTTTTTAGTTGTTAGTAGCTCTTTTCTTCTCCTATACTATCCTTTCTGTTTAAAGCCTATCATTCTTCTCCAAAAATTTCCAGCACCAAATTCATCATCCTTTAGATCTCTCTATGTTGGACTTCCAACAAGCTGCAACTTTGTTTCTGTACAGTTGCCACCACTTAATGTGCCAACAAAGTATGAGATTTGTGCCTACAGCTCTATACAAAGTGACACTATCAGCTGACAACCTGCCTACAGCTCTTCCAATTGCCACCCTGAGTCCTACCAACCATTAGATGCTCGAAAACTTGTCTCTATAACTCATTGAGTTGGCAAGATAATTATGAGCAATAAACTCAGTAACATTGAGATATTAGAGATTCGTTTCACAATCTGTTTAACTGTGATGTTGTTGTTTGATCCTTTTGATGCGAACTTCATGTTTGATCTTACAGTGACTGTAAGATGGTATCAGAGGATGCCAGCAAGATGATGAATAATGTGTAACCTTGTTGAATGAATCAACCACAAAAGAATTAAACCCTGATTAGGCAACTATCATTATGAAGCACCTGTTCCACTTTGCATGTGTTGCTGAAGGCTTAGTTCTTCACTAGTTTATCATAGCCAATTGTCGATAAAGAACAATTCACTATATGTTTATTTTACTAATATGCTATAGTAACATTACATATTTTGGTACATATAAGCATGAAAATAGGTAGGATATGGATCAGATGCTAGGATACCTATATTTATATCCACCTTCAATCAGGGCACATAATGAATGTAGTTGCAGATATTAGACAAATAGCAAAGTTTGAAACTATACTTGTCCAATATGGATGAAGAATACAATTGGATAGGCTAACTTATTAATAAGATTTTGAAAATACATGAATGCATAAAAAATGTATACAAAGTAGGCTATATGAAAACAAATACTAAGTTTAATTGATGCAATAATTTAAACAAGCATGCTGTCACGTACAAACTTATAAATGAACACAAACAAAATTGAAAAATAAAAGAAACACATTTTATAATAAACAAGATGCAGTATAGTGATAAGCATGTTAATATGGATGTTAATGAAAGCCTTCAAAGACTAAAATATATTGTATGAAAAAAGACAAACTTATTTTGATGTCATATTTGAATTCAAGCAAAGCAACATATTTAACAATAGAGGGAACGCTAACTATGGAATTCAGACACTTGTGTTAAAGCTCTAACAACACTTAGTGATGAAGTCCACGTAAGTTTTCAGTCCTAGAGGAAGGTCAGTTATGTGAAACTTGTTATATCATTCCAATTTCCACTACTTAGGACTCTAGTTCATACTGTGATCATACAGTAATTACTTCTTAGTATGATCATATAGCTATGAGATATACCGATCGTAATTTCTTTTTGCTACCAATATTTGATACTTAGTTTCTAGCTAATTTCTCCTGGATAGATGCTTTCCTTTTTTAGCTGAAATGTAGATCCTCCGACAAAATTAGGCTTTTTCTGTATCTTTAAAACCCCCGGCTAAGATAAATGTTGAGTTAATCCTCTAGTTGTGTGAGATTATATTTTAACACGACCAACCATTTCCCCCAATTTAGCTATTAAATATTGCGTCAAGGCCACCTAATATTTCCTTACGTTTTCATCCAAAGGACTAGTGCACTCGTGTGCAAACAATAGGTAATATTTAGTATATAGCACAGTTTATTGTATTGATGTATATCACCCGATAGTACTATGTACCAATCCGATAGGATACTGATATGCGAACCGCTCTCTACTGGGTGATATCGATCACTTGACTCTGTATCAAATGATATGGGATCTGCACTGGGTAATAATGGTCGAAATCCAACTATTATCAACCTATACTAATCGATAACAATCGAATTTTGATTGTTACTGATGTACAAGTCGATAAAGATTAGATTTCAACTATTACCAATGAGATTGCCTAATTTCAAATAGTAAATTTAATTGTTTGAGACTTAGAAAAGGGTTTTAAAACTCTTTTCTCCCCCTTATTTTAACTACTTTCACTCTCTCAATCTCCTAAACTCTATTTTACTTGCATCTCTTTTATTCTCATTATTTTAATCTTCTAAACTCAACGAAGCTACAATTTATAGATTGGATCAAATTTAAGAGGTTAATTTATAAGTATTAAGAGGAAAAAAACTCAAGAGATATATATTATCTTTCTAGATTTTTATTGATTTATGAGATAATTAAGTCTATTCTAAATTATGTATAACTTAATGTTTAATATGTTATTTGATATATTTTTTATGATAGAATAGTATTCATTAAGAATTTTTAATATTATGACTAATATGTTTAATATTAATTTTTTTTAAAATTAGACAGTTATAGGTTAAATCTTTATATTTCATGCATATTAAGGATTGGATCATATGTTTGTGATGGTATAATAGGTTTAAATAAATTTTATTTAAATTTTTAATGCTATGATTAGTAATTTTAATGATAATTTAATCAAAATTTGATCGATATTGAATCAATTTATATTTTTATTAAATTATACTAAATTTATATTTATTTTTAATTTAAAAATTTTAATCTAATTTTTTTTATTTTAAAATTTTTCTTTTGAATTTGGGCATACCATCGGTATGCCTCGGTACATACCGTACCAAGTAATGATCGATATATTGGTATAGATTGGAATTATAATTCTTGGTATATAGTAATAAAAACTAATTTCTTCTTCACATTACTCATAAGATTTGTGGCTTAAAGCTTCTCGTTATGTGTTCTGATAAAAAAATTTACTCCATAATAGATAAGTATGTACAATTGATAAGTTCAACCAAGAACGATTTAGATACCGACATATAATCAATATGTTTCTCATTACCGAGCGTACCAGTCCAACAGGTACTTAAATTTTTGAGTTAAACTAACCATGCAAGTAAGACAGCAACAAGAATCATAATTAATCTATGATTATTCACAATAACTAAGAGGGAAACAGAAAATTATGTCAATATATAGGTTTTTCTTTTTGGTCTGTTAGAGAAATAATCTACAACTGAAATGAGTTTAAAAAAAGCCTTCTCTTAGTGCCATTATCAAGTTGAAAGTAAGCTAATGAAAGTTTAATAGAAATTTTGCCCTATTCTGTGCACATTCAGATAAGTAGGGACTGCTTATGTTGATGTTATCTTGGTTCCGAAGGATGAAGACAACATACCTTCTTCTTGTAGGTATCTGTCTGAGTACTGATCACATGATACTGCCATAAAAAAAAAAATCAAGTATTAGAATGCAGTTTTTATGTTCCTTTCTGGTGCCAAATGCCATGCTTTTAAGAATATATATTGACTTGGAAGTACATGATTGTTCTTTTTATACTTTAAAATTGTAAAAGAAACCTAAATGAGATCAGAAGCAGTTACAATAAGATCAAGGCATACATGTATATATATTTATATATACATGTATATATATTCCAACACATGTGAAACTTCCAAGTGCTCAGAGATCCAGAAAAGTGAAGCCAGGAACAATAATTCTCACCGGATGAAACAATCACATGAAGAGTTAAAACCATATACTCTATCTTTCTGTAGTAAGTATATCATGGAAAATCTACGAGAAGGACAAGTATTGCAAGAGATATGCCATAGATGACTGTGTTCTTACTTTTCTATTGCGAACAACCTTCAATGCTTCATCCAAATTTTGCTCAAGACCGCGCAGTTCCTCTATGTCCTTCCCATCCAAGCCTTCACCCATTCTTTGCCTTTTTGTAGCATCAAACAGCATCCCTTTGGTGCTCATATATATGCAACTAGAAATAGTGTTCCTTTGGAGAAAGGGAAAGGAAAAAGAGAAGGGACCTTATTTCTCTACGCAGGTTGCGGTTAATCTGCTTCAGATGGTTGAGGTTGTTTTGCATTCTCTACTTCCACCCCAAGAGAAAGAAAGAAGCATGTAAGACATGAGACCCTTGATCATGAGTGAAAGCATATACAGACATGGAACTCGGAGATGAAGGTAGTTCTTGCCTCGTATTGTGCACTCCACAGGTTGGTTCCGGAGACCTGCTGGTAGCGATCAAATATCTTCTTGGTGCTGATCATGGCAGTGAGCTGTGACATGAGGCAGGGAAAGCAAAGCAAGAAAGAGAAGCTCTACATGGAAAGAAGAAGAAAAGAAAGAGGCAGAGGCAGGAGGAGGTTGGTTGATGTACTCGGTGGAAGGGCTGCAGTACTCGGAGAACTTGCCGGTGCTGGAGAACATGATGATGGAAACCTCAGCATCACATAACACAGTCAGCTCCTTTGCCTTCTTCATGATCCCTGTCCTCCTCTTGGAGTATGTCACCTGCCTATTGGTTGGGTTCTCTATCTTCTTTATCTCTATCTTCCCCCTCCCCATCTCTCTCGCGTTGCACTATGATCTCCCCTTCTTCTGAAACAACACAGTGAAGAAGAAAAGATGAGGAGAGGCTCAAAAAGAGGCCATAAAGCTGCTGAGGGGAGATGGTGGGTGGGTTGTGTGGAGCAAGAGAAAAAGAAGGAAGAGGTTTCCATTTGAGGGAAGGAGTGCAAAAGCCAGAGTTCCCATAGATGGGGCCAGTGTTTCCAAGTCTGTGAAAGACTTGTAGGTAACTGATAGCATGTGATGTCCTGCCACTTCTAAGAATCAGTCACTTTTCCTTGTCTCACACTTCCCCAGGAATCTCTCGTAATTTTCCATGTAGCTGCAAGTATGCGAGATGGTAATCAAATCAAACAATGATCTTTGTAGTATCTATATACTTGGCTTTTTTTCTTTCTTTCTTTTTTCTTCTCTTTCCCCTCTACACACTCAACTTCACCGGTATTTTCCATCACCTGCATCCCCGCCTCTCTCTCTCTCTCTCTCTCTCTGTAAATGTTCCAAGGATAAGAGATTTACAGGCTTTCTTCTGCTGGTCATAAACTCTCAAACAAACAAAAGCCTTGTGTGGTACTTGTAAAGGAACAGCAGAGGCATTGCTACTCTTTTTTTATCGTCTTTGCTTCGAGAATGAGTAGGCTGAGTGTCTCCCTCTTGTCAGCCAAACTCTATGGGTTTGAGGGGGTGCGAGATGCGAGAAGAGCGATGCTTGTGTGTCAAGTCACAGGGGTCATGTCCCATCCGCACAGATGAAACTTGACAACCATTAAGGAAGCTCAAAGTTGCTGACAGTCACCTCTTTTGTTAGGAACCACCGAGCAGTTCTCCAGATGTAATGTTGACATCTACTATCAGCTACCTTTCTTTTACCACCAAGATTTCTTTCACATGATCTAATTGAGCAAAGGGAGATTAGTGTGAGCAGGAAAACATATTCTTGGTGAAGACTGCAACACCTACTGATTCTCTCTCTATTCATCTCGATCGTTTTATAATAATACCCTATTTTCTTTCATCAATTGGTGTAGTCAAAATTCTAGAGCTATTGTTATTATTAGTTCATTTTTTTAATGACCAAACTATTAATCTTTCATTACTGCTGAAATTTTGGGATTTCTGAAACACAAACTATCAGATCTACACTCAGCCTTCAGATCAAGATAGTACTTCTTTGTCTGACATCCAAAATGCTTGAAAACTGGCTAGGAAACCATAACATATTATTCAGACTTTAGGATATTTGTTGTGTGTCTCCTCTATGGTGTCACCCTCAGTAAAAGTCTTGTTTTGTCTTTCTGACTCATTGCCCGTGATGAGCATAACCTACCCTACATTTAGGGCTTATCAGAAGGAAAACAGTTTATATATCCAGTAGGACAAATTGTGAATTCACCATATGGAAAATGTGAGTTATTAAATCAAGTAAAGCACTGTAATGCAGCCTCAAATGGTTCACTTTTCTATATACCAAAGATGCATTGACTTTTAAAACATCACATGTAACATCAGAACCCAACTACTGACTCTGATATTATCCATACAAGACAGACACAGATGTAGCCACTTCAATTAAAAGCATGATTGACATGAGCTCTCTCCTCATCATAGAATGAAAGGATACTACTACCTAATAGCTTACAAGAGAAGTGACCCCATCCACATGTTGTAGGCTCAAAATACAGAAAGCTTCAGTACTCATATAAACTGCCTCTCATAAGACAACTTTTAGATGTATCACATCCATTAGTGTGACTTAACCTTCAATTCTAGAATCAAATTTTACTTTGAACTCTCTCACTAGAATCCTGCTGATTTTGGCCGCATATTATACAAAAATAAATAAATAAATAAAAAATTCATACTCCGGATTTTTTGACCGAATTACAATTGGCAAACTGTGATACATACAAAGGGATATTCCTGGTTTAATAGTTATTAGCCATCTATTGAAACAAAATACACACAAAGGAAATTGATCCATGCATTGCAAATTCATGTTTATAGATATTAATTAAGCAGTTATATAATCTTTGTACAATCAACACTACAAGATAAGAGGCTCTAGCTTTTTCTGCCTTGAGCTACAGAAACTGTGTCTAATTCCTCCATAACTCATTTTTGGAATCTGAAGATGCTATAATTCTGAAGTTGTCAGGTCTCAAAACAAATGTAGGAGGGTTTTTTATCCATGTTGGAAGTTCTAGCTATTGAGAAGATACTTGTAGATGCAATTAGTCTATTAGACCCTTCCATGCTGCAAATGGAATATGATCCAAATGTCACATGTATCACTCGTAAGGTAGCAAACAAGTCAAAATTGCATTTAGATATCCTCTTCACCTTGTATTTCAATTTGCAGGCATTCATATGCCCCTGTAGATCAAAGGTTGTTTCCCATAAAAGTATTTTAAACTAATACCAATCATGCAATGTGCTTCAATGGGTGACAAACAATATTCCCTTGACACTTTCCACAAACACCCAATCATATTTCACCATGTTTTCTCCATCCAATTAATCTTCTCATTTGATATTAATGCTAGCTAGTTGGTTAGTTAACATGTTTACTTCAAATTATATGAAATTTAATAGGAATGTAACTATGATCTCTTTCATTTAAATTATTGTGGAAGGCACCTGCCATCTGAGTTAAGAAGCTTAGATTCCCCCTTTCTGTATGAGAGCATTATATGGAGGCTGGTGGGCTCATTTGCAATACATGTGATTTTCTATGGATTCTTTGAGCCTTAATATACACATTAATATACACATGGATATTGTCTCACTGATTTTTCATTTAATTTGTTCATTGAAAGGGAAAGCAGTAATTGTCCTTTGACATCCCAATGGTAGCATTTATTCCTCATACCACTGTTTGGTAGTGGGTATAAGCCATAAGATCAAGTTAGGTGTACCTTGAGAAGTGAAAGAACTCAAATCTAATTTGTACTCAACCTTATAGAATTAGAATTACTAATTTTTGTTTGATTTAACTGAAAAAGAATGAAACAGTTTTTCTTTTTTTTGGTTTGCTAATAATGATTTCATATTGCACACAAGCCTAGTAGACATGATTGAATAGATTAACTTGTACTGTGAGAAATCAGCAACTTGTTTTCCATAGATACTCATTCATCCTTGTCATGACATAACATAAAGTTAAACCAATTATTATTAGCAAATTTGGTTATTACACATAAATCTAATTTTGTAAAAGTATCATAATTTGTTAAAAATATAAAATAACAAGTCTGAGTCAAACAGACGAAGAATAACATATATTAGATTCTTTTATAAAGCAGGACATGTAAATGAAGCATAAAAATAACATATATGAGATTATTTTATGTAAAATACCATATGTAATTAAGTTTGTTAAGGTATGTTAAAGCATATGTGGTATGCTTTCATAAGATTTTAAGGTTTTGAAATTATTAATCATCGATTAAATCTTAAGATAGTACTAGATTATATCATGATTTTGAATTTTATATGTCCCTCTTTCTAGTATTTAGTTAAAAATATTTGTATATGTTACGTCGATTTTTGGTTGTCCGAGCTGAAATCTAATTCGGAGTCAACCTAGTTTATTTTTCGAACCAATCTCAAGATGAACTACTATGTGGATTGCTCAAACCTTGTAAAATTATATCATGGTACTTCCGACAATGCTCCTTAGATGCTTAAAACAATAGACAAGTCAAACAAGTATATTTAATATCCTGAGACATACCTATAAGTCTCCTTTTATAGTGGATATTTAGAGTTGTTACATCTATCTATTGCATAATTTATGGGATTGTGGGAACAATGAATTCAATCGTAATTATCGGAAGCCTATATGATTGTGTTGGTTTCCAACACATGGTATTGATTGGGCACGTCCAACTAGATTCACTCTATGGGGAGCCCATATGATGTTAAGGTCGAGCCAATGTGTCAGAGACATAAAACTAAGGTGTTAGCTAGGTGACTCCTTCATGTCGATCATGTGGAGCTAAGGTGTTGGTTGCAAGCTCAATATGTCAACCACGTGAAGCCAAGGTGATGACTAGGTGACTCTTCCATGTCGACCATATGGAGTCGAGGTTTCAGGCTTATAGAGCTAATGTGTCGGGTATGTGGCATCAACACATCAGCAATATCAGTTTTCCCATAACACATACCCCCCCTTCCCCCCACTTCTCAAGCTGAGTGTAGTAGAGTCAGGTCAAGAAATAGTACTCAGTGGGCATTAACTATCGATACCATAGGTTAGGAAAACCTATTTGGCCAATGGAAACGAAGTCACTTGAGATGGCACTCGATAGTTATCAATCGTATGAACTTAATTAAGTTGAGGCGACAGCACATGATGGACCAACTAAGACCGATGTGATTGCACACAATGGGTTAATGAAGCAGAGCACAATCGTGCATAGTGAGCATATAAGGTCACGCATGGTGATGCAGTCACCTGTCATGCATGTTGCCCTTCTCAATGGGTGGGCAAATCTAGGTGAATCTAGGCATGATCTGATAGCCGATCATATACCATAACCACCTACGGGTTGATGTGGTAACATCTCGGGCTTCCATGTGATGGTGGTGTAAATTATGATAGATTCAACGAGATTGTCATGATGATCTAAATGACCCTCAAATTATTTGTATCTCAACACATGAGTCCTAACACTTTAAATAGAGCCATGTGGTCCCTCTCTTTGAGGCTCTCAAGGGCCAAACGGGTGGTTGGGTAGGGGAAGCATTGTCCTTGGCCCCTATAAATGGCTATCCAGTTGACACTTGCACTTTACATTTGCTCACATCTCGGACCTCCTCGAATGACAACTCGAGCTTTCAACATCCAAGCAACTAAGGTCCACGATGTTGCCTTCTTCAACTTTTTCCTCCAACTCCGCATACTTAGATAGGTTATTGATTCTATCACCATCCTCGAAGTCTGAGTCAAATGACTCTGCCATGGTTGGCAAAGGCATAACACAAGATGGATTCGCCTTTGAGGGGGTATTTTCCATCGAGGAGGTTGACTTGGCTCACTTTGAAGATAAAATTTTCATCATTGAGGTTGACAATCCATGAAATTGGAGGAAAAAGTTGAAGACAACAACATTAGAGACCTTAGTTGCTCGGAGGTTGAGAGCTCGAGTTATCGTTCGAGGAGGTCTGAGATGCGAGCAAATGTGTGATGTAAGTATTAACTATGCCACTATTTATAGGGATTAAGAGCAATACTTCCCCTACTTAGCCACTTATTCGGCTCTTAAGAGCCTTGAAGAGAGGGGTCATGTGAGACAATCGAAAGCTTAGGGAACATATGGCGAGATCTAAAGAGCTCGAGGGCCATTCAAATCATCATAGCAATCTTGTCATGACATGTTATTACATCGACCAAATTATAGGTAGTTATGACATATTAATAGCTATCAGATCATGCCCAAATATGCCCAAGTGCGCCCACCACCAGGCTCGTGATTGATAATCACCATGCCAACTCGAGCAACTTTGTTTCCATTGGCCAAATAAGTCTCCCTAACCTATGGTGTCGATAGTAAATGCCCACCAAGTACTACTTCCCGACCTAACTTCACTATGCTCCTTATCTCGAGAAGTATGGGGTATATGTTACGAGAAAAATAGCATGATTGATGTGTCGATACCATGTACCCAACATTTCAGCTCTATAAGGCCGACACCTTCGCTCCATGTGGCAAAGGTGTCACCTGGTCGACAACTCGGTTCTACGTGGCAGACACGTCGACTCCACCTCAGCATCGCATGGGTATCTGGAACCAACTATATGTGCCCAATTAATACCACGTGTCGAAAAGCTATGCAATCCTAAGGTTGGCTCGGCCTAGTAGTAGTTATAGTCAAATTCTTCTCTCCCAAAATCATACGAACTGTGTGATAAATGGATTAGGAGATTTCGAACATCTATTATAAAAGAAAACCAATAGGTATATCTTAGGATATTAAATACCTATAGTCAATTTATTTATTGATTTAAGTATTAGAAGAGCATTATCGAAAATATTTTGACTTAGTTTTATAAAATTTGGATGGCCTACGGAGGTGTTCATCTTGAAATCAACCCGAGAAAGAAATCAGATTGATTTCGAATCAGCTTATAACTCAAACAATCAAAAATCGACCTAACAATGTAGCATTTGTTTCTTCATTTGTACTCACAATATGCAATGAGATTTCGTTCATCTATATACCTAAATCGGACTATGCTAAAACATACATTGAACCCGTAAACGAAACTCGATGAAACGTCGTTAAAGATGGAAATAGAAAACCCACGTAATACTGAAAAAAGAAACACTCATATTAGACCCTGATTCCTATTTCAAGATCCTTTAAATTACCTTACAACTCCTGCTAAACTGCAATCCATGTTCCGTCAATAACTTGATGAGACATGTGTCATAGAAT